TGCCATGGAGCTGTTTCATTTGTGGTCGCGTTATCGCCTGCACCATGCGTTCGGCCGACCCGTTAACTTGGGGACGATATGCCATGGTTGCTCGCTGTCGCTGCCCCAGGATCCGGTTGAATGCTCGAAAGAAATCAGACATAAAGCCTGGCTCCCGATCATGTCTAATCATCTCGCTAGCTCCAAATCTTCGGAAAACGCACTCCTCGTACGATTCAGCAATGGTTTGCGCAGTTCTAGACACACTAGCTTTGGCTATCCTACAACCTAGTGAGCTTTTCCTATACACGTGCAGATCCAACAGGTTAACCGAATTTACTACTTGGTCGGTTACACCCTAGAAGATCTCAACTCTCAAGATCCCGTCACAGGAGGCGGCAAGTACAACGCAAAGGAAAAACGCAAAGGCAAGGGAACACACCCGCAAGGCAACCCTACGGCCAGATCCACGATCTAGGCCCCGGATCCATAAGCTCGAATATTCGCTTAGGATACGGAACCATCCACGGACGCAGAGTGAAGATTTTCCACTGCTGCTCCACCCCATCCCCACGTCTCGCCAAGACACTCAAGCTTCACCACTTGAACTCTTCGGAAGTTACCGAGAGAGCAGATCCCGCCCTACCGACGGGTACACAAGGTGAGGAAAGTTCAGCAGAACACGGATCATCGGGGGACCCCTTCCGTTAGTCGGTGTCTGGGCGCAGTTGGTAAGTTGGATCTGGCAATCTCGCAGATTTTGCTGATCCCGCTACACCACACCGGGTATCAACGGCGCTGGCGCTCGCTCCTGTGTAGCATTGCAGGTCATCAGAACACGACATCGAAAAATGCCATAAAGATTCACATCATGCTCTTCCTACCAGTGTCGGCTGCAAGTCTGTGATTGGACGTTAATCGGGTGGGGGGGCCAACTCATCGAGGAAGTCTCTTCAAATGTTGCCCATCATTTAGTATAGGAAACCCGGGTGGGGGGGGCCAACTCTTCGGTGAAATTTGAGGGGGCCAACTCATCGAGGAATTCGGTAGTCACAAATACAGAATTTGCCTCAATAAAGAACACCAAGAAGCTTATAGCCTTCAATATTGTATGCGGCTGCTCTTGCGTCAAATCACTAGTCATTTATAATGGCTCCCTGTAATCTAGCATTTGTCTTGTAAATTGCATATTTATAAGATGTCCTTTATTGAAGCGGAATATTGTACTAAGTACTTTAAAGTACATAAGTCCCCCTGAAGAAGCGTTGGAGGTCATCTGATAAATTTACGTAGGGAAATCAATGCGATCTGGTGATTTGTCAATTGTACCTCCAATTCTTATGATCCGATATACAGGGGGATAGGAAGTGCATGCTACGCTTGTTCAGGGGGACTTCTGTACATGTACCTCATCTTTAGATGATTACAAAGGAGACAACGTCAAACAAAATGATACTTACGAACCATTTAGAGTTATCGAGATAATCGAGCTTAAAGTTGGCCAATTGATTTTTCGTACTTAACCGAAACAATGACATTTATTGTAAACTTCCATCGAAAAAACTGTAAAACTACCCTTATTCAATTGCTTTTAACAAGAGCTTTTAAATAACACTTAAATCTCTAAAATTGAAAAAATATTGAGCTCACAACACTCCTAAATGTATCGTCATTTCGAGGGCCCATAAAGGAAGACAATATTTTTGAGCGACCACAACTTCTTCAGTTTTAAGCATTCTGCAGCTTATGAGGGCTTAGGAGACGCCCCGCTTTCGTTTAGAGCGCTTAAATCGCGATTCGTACTTAGGTTCATAAGTATCATTTAGTTTTGGGTTGTCTCAAATATGGGTTTTAGGACCCTGAATAAGCGTAGCGAATACTTCATATACCCTTTTATACCCGATCACATTGATTGGGAATACTTAAGACAAATCATGAGATTGCTGTGAATTTACTATGCAAATTAATCAGACGACCCCCTACGCTTATTCAGGGGAGCTTCTGTATCGCCGTATGATATGAATAACCGATAGAAAGGTCTCCCAGTGCGAAGCGTCAAATCAGCTTGTTCGTCTCGTCTAAAAGCTGTGGCGTCTCAACCAGGGGATTACCGGTAAGCTTATCCTGGATATTGTACTGCACACGGGACTTCAAGATCCCACTCAATTGCCAAGAAGAGCTCAAGTTCGCAAGCGTTCTTCGCTTCTTTCCTAGCCCAGCCATGAGTTTCGTGCCCGTCGCCCCCGACTGCGATTTCCCCATCCAAAATTTGCCGTACGGCATTTTCTCCACCAAAATCAACGACAAGAAGCGCGTTGGCGTCGCAATCGGAGAGTTTGTATGTCTCTCCCTCTGTCTCGTAGGAGGGGGCCTTCCTAAAGCCGACTCTTGTAATTGCTGTACTTTACATACAGGTTCTAGACTTGTCTGTGGTCGAAATGGAAGGACACTTCGAGGGCTTCCACGCCGCCTGCTTTCACGACCCAACGCTTAACGGATTCATGGCCCAAGGCCCCAAAGCCTGGGCCACGGCGCGTTCGACCGTGCAGCGCCTGCTGTCCGCCGACGAGTCCACGCTCCGTGACAACGAGGCACTCCGACAGCGCGCTTTAATCCCCATGAAAAACGTGCGTATGCACCTGCCGGCCAGGGTGGGCGACTACACGGACTTTTACTCTTCGCGCGAGCACGCCACTAACGTCGGCCGAATGTTCCGCGGAGAAGACAATGCGCTGCAGCCCAACTGGTATGTATTAATAGACAACAGAGGTTTCATCTTGTCATTCAAAAGTGGTTATCCTGTGTGCACTGTAATATTGCAGGTTGCATTTGCCCGTCGGCTACCATGGACGCTCCTCGTCAATCGTTCCATCCGGCACCAGTGTGCGTCGTCCCTGCGGCCAGCTGCAGGCCGACAAGGCTGATCCGTCCAAGGGGTCCGTCTACGGCCCGTGCCGTGTGCTCGACTATGAGCTTGAAATGGTAGATGCTTGCCGTGGACTGATCTTGTCTCCAGTTGTAGCTCTGACGATGGGTTCTTCTTTGGCCAGGCTTTCTTCGTGGGCCCACCGAGCAACATCGGTGAGCCAGTCCCAATGAATAAGGCAGAAGACCACATCTTTGGCGTGGTGTTGATGAATGACTGGAGTGGTAAGTTGCCATTCCTCACAGCAAATAACCTTTTCTGCAGACTAACACTGGTGTCGCACGCTAGCTCGCGATATTCAGAAGTGGGAGTACGTCCCACTCGGACCATTTGGAGCCAAGAACTTCGCGACCACCATTTCGCCCTGGGTTGTACCTCTCGCTGCCTTAGAGCCGTTCCGGTGCGAGCCAAGCTTTGGACCAGTCCAGAAGGACCCAACGCCACTGCCATACATTTCGGACCCGGACTATTCTCGCGGTACCTACGACATCAAGCTGAACGTAAAGCCCCAATTGGACGATCATAGAGACGTTCGAGACTGCTGATATGTTGTTCTCTTTTTGTGTGATTGTGCTGTGCAGGTTTCGGTGAAACCGGAGGGATCCGACCAAGCCTACACCATAACAAAAAGCAACTTTCGCAACATGTACTGGAACATGAAGCAGCAGCTGGTGCACCACACAGTAACGGGGTGCAACATGCGGCCTGGAGATCTCTTAGGCAGCGGCACTATAAGCGGCAGTACGGACGACAGCTTGGGCTCGATGCTCGAGCTGAGTTGGCAAGGATCCCGCGAGGTTGCGCTCGGAGACAGTGGCACGACTCGCAAGTTTTTGCATGACGGCGACACCGTGGCGGTCACTGGGTTCTGCCAGGGCAATGGCTACAGGATAGGATTTGGCCCCTGTGAGGGCAAGGTTTTGCCTGCATGTCAGTGAAATGATTCATGTGAAAACCAGCAGCAGCATCCGACTATCTCGTCCAAGTACCTGGTACAAGTACTACAGTACATGTAGATAGCAGCGTTGAACATTTGGAGTTGAATAATAACGTTAGTTACACAATTATACGCTCTGTGCTAAATTGTCGCCTCTAGCCGTTTTGAACAGATCCTTTAGCAACACCTTCATCGAACCCTCGGTGCGTAAGCTAGCCGACGGGTATGCCAGTTCATCGTCTTGTTCCAACGAAGGCAACTTGAGATTGTGCACAGTTTCGTCTCCTCGTATTGCAACATCACCTCTCTCACTCTTCTTCGTAATACTACCAACCGGATCATCGAAGTCATCAAATTTGTCTTCCAAAAGAAAAAAGTCCACACCTCGAACATGCAGCTTCGACTCCAGCGCCTCCTTCCACTCGTCCACGACACCAGCGTTCAGCATGGCAGCTCCGCTGCGGTCGTTGTGCGCGGTAATTCGATCTTTTGGCTCTTCCTTGGAATCCAGCGACGACGCGCCAGACGCAATTCCCCATCGATCGCGCAGGAAATTAAGTTTTTGCTGCTCATCTTTAGTGTACATACGGCCACCGGTCTTCGTCGTCTCTTGCTGAGTGGAAGAGGAGGAACGATTCACCACCACAGAAACTGAGCACAAAGAGTGCAGCACTTTCATCAACATGGCTAGCGACGGATAATTGTCGCTCAAGTAGCAAAAATAATCTTCGACAACAGGAAACTCGGCAACGAACTCACTCGTAAATGCTTGCTGCGACGTGTGTAAGTATGCGGTCACCTCACCTCGCAGAGAATTCGGTTTGCGTCCAAAGAGAAACCTAAAGTATGAGACGCTGAGATCACTCAGCGTGCTCAGTCTGGTGATGTCTGTGCTCTTGAGGTCACGTAGCCTCAGCCGTGGGTTCAGTGCATGCGCGACGACAAAAAGAGGCTGCTCCATTTCCCCCCACAGCACCTCCAACGCGATCTGCACGGTGACGAATCCTTCAGCAGCAGTGAACAATGCACCCAAGTGCTCCAATGTCTCTGAAAGTGTCTGTCCAGATCGACAGCTAGACAATGCGTTCGTGAATGCGTGAAGCAGATTATACACACGCTCCAGTAGCGAGCGATCCAGCGCATTCTCCACCAGCCGTTTTGCATTGGCAGCTCCTTTCTTCGTACTACTAGAGGCGAAAGCTTTTTCATCCAGAAGCACTTGGATGAGCGTAGCACACGACTCCCAGTTGCAGAAGGGGCCTTTGTGGGAAGCATGGTTTACTGCCGATAGCCGCTCAATCACGCACGATCGAATGGACTCCAATTGCCAGACCTCAATAAGCGACGACACGACGGTAAACATTTCCGCACTCGCCAGAAGCTTCAATAAAGGAAACTGCAGCATATCCTCCATGTCAGACAAGAATGCAACTCGAGGCCAATGCGAGGGTGCACGCAGAATCCCCACAGCACGTTGAGTCATCGTGTTGTACGGAAGGACAACTGCTGCGAGAGCCAACTTTGTCCCTTCAACACACAGTCGGATATGTCCATCTAGCCATCGAGCGATCTCGAGGCCGTGGTACCGAGCCAAAGTTGCCTCCACGCCCGATTCCGGTTGCTGTGCTCGGATAAATGAAAGCGACGTGATCGCATTCCCGTTGGTTACGACGCCGTCAATTACTGGCATCTGCAGATCTCCGGGGTGGTGGCTGGCAGTCAGGTTGCAGTGCATCATTACTGGCCAAGATCCTGCCGGTGTGATTGACAGTGTGTCAACCATATCGGCAGAGAAAGCAGACGCACCTACTTCGAGTAGAATGGGCTCTTGCAGCTTCGCGAGCTCAGTGAGAAGCGTAGCGCTGTGAACTTCACCCAAGACACGTGTGCGCAAGTCTTTCGATCTCGGTATAAGTTTGTTTTTGACGTCAGATGCAGGAACCAACGCGCCAAATAGCTGCTTGGCACTTACACTTTCCACCCATTCAAAAGGCAAGTTATGTTCGATCACAAGGTGCACCAGCGAGCGGTGCACAGAAAATTTATCCGCCGAATGAGCTAGAGACATGCTGGATACGTCCACTTCGGGACGCTTTGGTCCAGATGCATCCAGTGAGGCAGTTGCGCTAAGGTTTATATTATGAATCTTCGCCATCGCTGATGGGTCCTTAGGCAAATGACGACACTTGGACAAATGCGTCTGCATGTTGCTCTTGCGGCCCATGACAATAGCCGGCTCCATTGACGCCTTCAGGTTCTCTGGGGCGTTTTCGTACGCCTGCTGGCAAAAGTTGCAGCGAGCGTAATAGTATGCGCTATCCTTCTTGCGTTCGAGGCGCGTGAAATGCTGCCACTCATCAAGTGCCAATCGTGACGAGGTGACGGGGAGCATGGCAGCCACAGGGGATACAGCAGCCCCAGAAGCTTTCAGGTCTGCTGTTGCAGAAACAGAAGTAGAGGTGGCAACCACAGCTCCCAGATGGGCAGCAGCACCAGCGGCCAGAGCACTGACCACGACGCTCGTCTTGTTACGCTGGAACAGCCGGCGCTCCAGCGGCGGCAGATCTCCTTTGAAATGCGGACAGAGCGCGAGGTGCTTCCGCATCTTTTCACGTCTGCCCACGAGCTTCTCCGGCACGAGCAACGGCTTCTGATCCTCAGGGGCCTCGTCATACGCACGCTGGCAGCACTTGCACAGGGCGTAGAAGAAATTTGACTTGCCAATGTAGCCTTCATCCTGCAGCCGCGTGAAATGCTCCCACTCGTCCATCATGCAGTGCTTGCCACGGCCTCCACGGGACCCACCACAGCTCTCTCTGTCCGCTCTGCGCTTGCGCTTTTCACCCGTCGACGTCGGTGCTGACGTAACGACTGTGGTCGTTGTCGAGTTCGATGCACCCGTCTCCGCTTCCACCTCAGCCTTTGCCTGCTGCTCCATCTGGTACTGCGTGGCGTACATGGGGCAGACTTTGAGGTGCGATCGCATCGCTGATCGGCGACCCGTAAGCTTAGGGGGCGCATTGAAAAGTTTCTTTTGCTGGAAGCCGGCCACGCAATGACGGCACAAAACATACCAGTAGGACGAATTGGGCACGCGACCCTCCTCTGGAAGCTTCTGGAAGTGAATCCACTCGTCCATCGTGCATCCCCGCCCCATGTTGTCGGCAGCTCCAAATTCAACCGGTTGGAACGAGGAGAAACTTTGTTAAGAAACTCGGTGTGTAAGAAACAAATCTTTTATTCAAGGAGTGGTAAAAAAAGCGTCATAAAAAAGAAGAAATTTCATTTAGCGTTTGTTTTATAAAATTAATTCCAAAATACGTCCGTGGCGTCCAAATGTACCGTCTTCAGCCCCAATACAAAGCGTCTTTGAAAGGGACACGTCTTGTAACGGGGTACAATCCAGTGTACCCCATGTTACATAAAGAGTGACCCGTCACTCTTGTGGACACCTGGTACATGGTACCAGGTGCTCTATGAGCCAGCCAGGGCATGACTTCTTAGCTCCACTATAGGTAAACTGTAACGGGGTACGTAGCCCTAAGCGTACCCTGGTTACATGAAGTGTGACACTTTACACTTCAGGAGTATGACACGTCATACTCCGGGATATTTGGTACAAGGTACCAGAGTCGTTCAAAGCCAACCATTGGTTAAATGACATTGCATTTCTATAGGTAACTTATAGTTTGTATTAAACCCAAACTTAACCTACCTATAAATATACTCAGTTTACAATCTACCTTATTTAGGTCACTTCGCTCTCTTTAATTAAAGAGGGGACCTGTGAACTGCCGTTCACTGAGAGTTTGTATACTCTCGGAAGATAACTTCCTCTAGCGCAAGGTGCTGTGTGACCCCGTCACACTTGGTAGCACTAGTAGTCAATCCACGCCATCGCGGGTAGACTACCTGAACCTCCGAAGTTCGTTGCCATGGATAGGAACGACTTCTCCCATATGAACGACTCTCAGTTCGAGTCGGTTCGGAAGATGGCAGGCATCTTCGGGATGGAGGCCCTGCAGAGCCTGGTGGTATCAACACCGGCTGAGCAGCTCGAGCGCGTCAATGCATTCGACGCGTACGAGCAGGGCCTCATCGCGCATGTGCGGGAGAACCTGCAGGCTCCGGCGGCGGAAGCAAATCCGCCTCACCCGAAGCCAATACGGCTGAAGGTAAAGCCGTATGAAGGGAAGGAAGGCGAGAACCTTCACTTCTGGGTCCGAGAAGTAGAGCTCGCGATGGACGCGGCTCTGATCTCGACCGAGCAACTGCGTGTTGCTTTTGCACTCTCCAACCTTAGCGGTCGTGCTAAGAGTTGGGTGTACACTCGGGAAGCAACATCCCCTGGATGTTTCACATCCTGGGCTCAGCTGTGTGAACAGCTCCGAGCCGCGTTCCTCCCGGCGAACTACGAGTACCGCCAGCGTTCGCGCTTGCTCGCGTGTAAACAAGGAAGGCGCGAACTGCACGAGTATGTGCAAGAGATACGGGAGCTCACGGCGTCCCTAGTGGGAAACCCACTCAATGAACACATCAAGATGACTGTGTTCATGGACGGCCTTCGAGTGGGGCCCGCACGCACTCAGCTGTTCCGGGTGCAGGCAAGCACCCTTGAAGAGGCGATTCAAGTGGCTCTTCAAGAAGAGTACAGCCATCGCCAGGCGCGTACGCCGGCCTCAGCGTGGCCTGGAAGTTCCTTGTCGGCTCCCGGTCGAACAAGCCCCAACGGACCAGTTCCCATGGAACTCGGGTCCGCCGAACAGCGGGACATCCGCTGCTTCGGCTGTGGGAAGATGGGCCACTTCAAGCGCGACTGTCCCGCGGAAAGACTCCGCAGACGGTCCTTCCCCAAGCCCGTCCTCAAGGGTCGCTGGCAGAAGCCAGGATCCCGGGGACAGGGGAACGCAGGGAACCAGTAGGGGCGGGGCGCCCTACTGGGGAAGAACTAAGTCTTCGTGATGGGTGCGCGGGTGGCGCGTACCACGGGGACTTAGCCCCTGAGAGTCTTCGCACTCTCGAATCGGCGAAGAGCAGCGGCGGGTTGCTCGTAGTACACGGATGTGTACGGGGATACGATCACCCCTTTAGAATCTTGATTGACTCTGGGGCGTCGAATAATTTCGCACGCCGCCAGACGGTTGCTCGTAACAGCAACAAGTTGTCCGAAGCTTTGAGAGAAAGCAAGGGCAACGGGACGGTGTCAGTGCGACTGGCCGACGGGAAGGTCGTCACTGTCCCCAACGTCCAAGTGGATCTGGCTGTCAAGTTTGAAGACTTTGACAGCCTCGAACAGTTCACTGTTCTCGATATGGATCCATATGATATGATCCTGGGCATGCCCTGGCTTGAGAAGCACGAGCCCTGGATCGACTGGCGAGGCAAGGCAATCGGTGCCAGCCGCCCTGCGCAGTCCGACAGAGCATTGGTGAGTCATGTTCCCACCTCTGTCAGGACCCGGGGCGCCCGCGAGGGCTGCCAGGGAACTAAAGCATCCGGCAGATGCTTGGGAGTCGTCGACGTATATGACGACTCCGAGGATGTTTTGATGGTGGCCGCGCCCAGAAGAGGCGCCGGCCAAGTGGGTAACTTAGGTCCACAGGCGGGTAACTTAGTTCCGCAGACAGCTGCAGCTGTCATGAACACTGAGAACAGCGTGTTCAGAGTGGGTAACAGAGTTCCACTCACGGTCGCCCAGACCATAACTGAAGAGGAAGACGTCGGATACGCTTCCTGTGTGGGTAACACAGTGCCACACGCGGTCGCCCAGACCTTAACTGAAGAGGAAGGCGTTGAACACGCTTCCTGTGTGGGTAACACAGTGCCACACGCGGTCGCCCAGACCTTAACTGAAGGGGAAGGCGTTGAACACGCTTCCTGTGTGGGTACAACAGTGCCACACGAGGCCACGCGTGCCTCGGATGTCGTAGCGACGACATCCCTAGACGTGGCAGCAAAGCTCCCCGTCACAGACGCCGTCGGCAAAAGACGCCGCCGGCGCCTCAAGTCGGAATCCGAGCTTCGCTCCGATCGACGTCGCTTCAAGCGACTCGGAGTCCAGGGCCCGGGCTCCTCCGACAAGGCCGGTGGAAGAGTGTTATCACTTCTTCGATGGCGAGACAGGTTTACCCGTCAAGGCATCTGGTGTCCACTTGGAACCGTTTCCCAGAGGTTGCAGAGATACTGAACCTCGAGGAAATGACGGCTGAGTCTTTCCTGGCCAACCTCAAGGCTGGAGAGATTGCTGAGATGGTACTCATGAGACCTGAGACCACTCAGGAGGAGCTGACCTCCTCCTCTGTCTTGGACGAGAACGTCCTGGAAGACATGAACAAGCAGCGTCAGGCGCGCTTGGGTTCTGAGATTCTCAAGAACCCCAAGGATCCGGTGTATCCTTTGGTGACGGAGTATGCGGACGTGGTGAGCAAACACCCACCGACCCAACTCCCACCGGATCGAGGCGTACGGCACGAGATTGATCTCGTGCCCGGCACAAAGTATTGTGTCACGAGGCAATGGCCTCTCCCGCGCGAACAGTGCGAGGTCATTGATGCCTTCTTCGCCGCGAAAGCGAAGGCAGGCATGGTGCGGGAGTCGAAATCCCCGCACTCCACGCCGACTTTCTGCGTTCGTAAGCCGAACGGAAAGTGGCGTCTGGTTCACGCTTATAACAAGCTGAACAACGCAACGGTGCCGGCCCAAACACCGATCCCACGAAAGGATGTGTTGTTGAACAACATGTCCGGGAGCGTACTGTACAGTGCGCTGGATTTGGTAGACGGATACTACCAAATCCTGATGCGAGAGAGTGACATCCCGCTCACCGCGGTAAGCACTCCAAGCGGCATGCTTTGGGAAGTGGCTCCGTCATGCCGCAGAGCTTGTCTTAACCGCCCCCGGCGACGTTCAATCGCTGGTGACGCAATTGTTCCGCCCTTGCGTACCTTCGTACAGACGTACTTCGACGACATTTTCGTCCATAGCCGTACCGAGGGAGGCAAGACGGCCATGGAGGTGCATCTAGGACACCTCCGTCGAGTGTTGGACGTGATGCGAGCGAACAAGCTTTACGCCAACATCGACAAGTGCGTTTTCGCGTCACCAGAGATCAAAGTTCTCGGTTGCTTCGTAAGCAACGTGGGCGTTCGGGCTGACCCAGACAAGGTCAAGGCCATAGCAGCATGGCCGACGCCCCGATCCCAGAAGGATCTTCGAAAGTGGTTGGGCTTGGCCAACTACCTTCACAAGTACAGCGCTGGGTACGCGGGCTTCGCTAAGCCCTTGTCGAGCCTCCTTCAGAAGGACGTCGACTGGCGCTGGGAGCAAGAGCACCAGGATGCTTTTGACAGCATCAAGGCCAGTCTCCAAGAGGCCCTTGTCCTGTCTCTGCCGGACGAGACGAAGCCGTTTAGCGTCGTCTGCGATGCCTCCGATTGCACCATCGGGTGTGCATTGCTGCAGGACGACATGGCTGGACAGGAACGAGTCATCTCGTTCCAGTCCCGGCAGCTCAAAGCCGCCGAGCGTAACTACCCTGTCCATGACAAGGAGCTCCTGGCAATGAAATATGCCCTTGTGAAGTTCCGTGTTCACCTTCTGGGCTCTAGGCCCTTTGTGATCTACACAGACCACGCGTCCTTGAGGACGGCGACTAACTCGCCTCACCTCTCCCAAAGGATGGCGAGGTGGCTGTCCTTCTTCGCTGAATACAACTTCCGCGTCGAATACAAGCCGGGCAAGCTCAACGTGCTTGCGGACGCCCTCTCTCGGCGTCCCGACTATGAGTTGGCCCACATCACGCGGGTGACAACGGATCTATATGATCGGATACGCATGGCGTATCGGGACGATGAGGCTGTCGCGCCTATCGTCAAGTTCCTTAAGGCCGGAACGAGCGCGAAGTCCGCCTGGCTCTCGTCGCGACAGCGCTCACGGCTCCACCGATATGAGTTGAAGGAGGGCCTCCTCTATTATCGGGTGGAGCCCACTGATCCTCCACGGGTGGTCGTACCCAACGACGAGGATCTGAAGTTCGACATCCTCGCGGAGGCGCATGACGCGCCCTCCAGCGGCCACTTGGGCCGCGAGAAGACCTTTCTGTCGGTCTCTCAGTCCTTCTGGTGGACCCACATGTACAAGTGGGTCGCCCGGTACGTCAAGACATGTGAAACATGTCAGCGGGTCAAACCCGCAGGGCACTCTTCGGCTCCACTACAGAG